CCTCTCCAATATTGAGTCCCAAAAAAAAAAAAAAAAAAAAAAAACCTTCATTCTATTAAACTACTGAGGGCTTTATTTTGAAAGGAGAATATGATTGTGGGTGTGGATGTGTGGGGGCAGAAGGACTGGCCATCAGATGTGGCAATAATGCAACTAAAAACGTCCATCCTTATCTTTACTCTTTTTTTCCTCTTTGATTGCTGTTCTGTTCTGTTTTTCCCTCCTTTCTATAAAACGTGTAATAAATACAAAGATATGATGAAGAAACTCTTGCAGCCACATTTACTAAGCCTTTGTTTCTGGATTGATATGCACTTTTCTTAATTTTGCATTCATTTGAGGGACAAAAAACGATACTGATAAGATATAAGTGTGACAAGTGTGATACAATTTGTGATGGTTTGGATTTTTTGAAAGAAAGAAAGAAAAGTTGTGGTCAGAAATGTAAAAGTTACAAGGATATATAATTGCTCATATGATGCCAATAGACATTTGAATAATTTAGTTGAAACCGAACTACAGCAAAAGTTTTGTAATGCTATATCAGAATCAGAATCAGAAGAAGCTTTGCCAAGTAGTGTTTTACACATACGAGGAATTTGCTGTGCTACACATAGACAAACATAAAATTTACATAAATAGATGCAGAAATACAAATATGGAACAAACAAATGCAAGTTATATAAGAATAATAAAATAATAGAGAAAAATAATGCATTACTTCGGTTTGTGTTGTGCAGACGTATTGCAACAGAAGAGAATACTGTGTACATACATATATAAAATGACAATATAAAAATATAAAACAACAACGATTAGCAATTAACAACAAACATGTTCAATGTGAAGAGAAGGGGATATTTGTTCTCTGCATTTAACCCGTCCTTTAAGAGCAGTGGGCTGCCATTGTAAGGCCTTTGGCATGGGTGGTGCTGGACTTGATCCGGCAACCCACCAGTTTCCAAGCCAAGTCCTAACAGACTCAGCTACTGCCGCCCCATTCATTTAATAATTATTTGTATTTTGGCATCACTACATTTAGATTTTTTAAAATCCAATTTAATGTTTGTAATTGTGACCCTGACGGTCTGCGGAGAAAGCATGCTGCCATTTTAATCTGTGTGTGTGTGTGTGTGTGTCAACACAGACAGCAAAATGACAAATTGTTGAAAAGAAGAACGAGAGGAGTAATGATGGAACAATAATGCCACATGTGTACTGTAGACCGCGCGTGTGTGTGTGGTGATGAATCTCTCATTGTGACAGTGGGGCCGGCAGCAGCGAATGTCCTTCTGGGTGGGACATACACACACACACACACACACACACACACACACACACACACTGAGACACATATACACAGATGGAAACGACCACACTAATGGATCACCCCTGTCTGCACGCAATCCGCCACAAATAATGATGAACCACCCCTGCATTAAACTATTTTACACAATGCTCAATTCATTACTTCTCTCTCTCTCTCTCTCTGCCTCTCTCTGCGGGTATAGGTGAGCTAATAAAGGTATGATATTTCTCCTCTACCGGCACAATCATAGTTTTTATCCATTAGTAGGATATTAGGATGGGGAATGAGGAAATGTTGGAGGGAGGGGATGGGATGGAGAGGGAAAAAGACATTCAAATTGGTTTAAAAGCATTGCCACTGTAAAAAGTAACAGCAGTCCCAGGTAGCAAATATAGTTTTGCTAAGAAGGCAAGGGCCAGCCTCTGGCCTTTTCAGGTCCTAGGTGAGCTTTAAGTTTGACGCTCCCCTCCATAACTTCATCAACATTTTAGTGTCACACAGATGAGATCAGCTCAAAGTGCTTTAATCACATTATAGAATCTTTAATATTTAATCATGTTACAGAATTAGCCTTGTGGGTGTGACAGGGAATTTTAATTGTCTTGATGACAAAAACTGCAAAAATAAGGCCTAGAGTGAAAATACCCTGAATTATCCTATGAAGAAGCTTCAATAAAACTTTGAGCTTAGTAGTTTATTAAATGCTAAACTCACTTTGTATTCATCCTTGTGCTAAAGTTTAAAACAAAGTTTATTCTGAATATTTGTAGTTATCTAATGATTCACATAGCTTGCTTTTAACTGTAGTGGGCTATGGGAATGAGAGTTATATTATAGGAATATTGAGAGTTAAATTAACACCTTCCACCTATTTAAAAAGGGCACAACTAGCCACATCCCCAGTATATATATACATTTAGTTTTTGGGATAGGAATTTGAATTGGCATAAATTTGGCATACTGTATTGTCATTAAAATCAGAGCCAGTACAATGTTTGGATCTTTGCAAACATTTGGATCTGGACATTGTTAAATGCTGATCTATAGTTTGCACCGGGTGCCAACTGAAAGTAAGCTATACCAAAAAACTAAAAATAAGCTTTGCAGGCTGTATCTTTTTCCTTGTTTGCTGATGCTCTAGGCTGGCCTGGACCAAAATAACGTACAATCATCCATCATACAGTCATACATGTGAGCTGAACATGTTTTTGGTGCTAGGCTTCAATATAATTGATCCTCAAAGACAATTTCATCATTAATCTTATGCCAACTAATCACAATTTTTCACTTTGTTATTTTACATTTAATTTCTTCTTTTTATTTAAACTGCATAGAGACTAATAGACCAACAAATCCACACAATTCAACACATTAACTTGGTTAATTAGTGGAATGTTTCAGGAAATACAATCAGCATAATTTCTTTGGTTTAGACAAAATCAAGATGTTGTGTGTTACCTTAAGTGTATCAGGCTGTTTAAAAATATGACAATAGAAGGTAGAATGATTTGATAATGGCTGAGAGAAAACTCCTTTTTTGTCTAAAATATATTTTCCAGCTTCACTTTGCTTAGTGTGAGAGGGAAGAGAAGAAAGAGTCATTATGGTTTTCAATTAAGTGATCCCTGGGCAGAGAGGGATGCGTCAGAGTGGGGGAATTAATGTGCTGCGGACAGATGTTTAATAATAATGGCCGAACTGGTCCTGCCGAGAAACACACATTCCATCAGCTGCACCCTACTGTGGCTACAGGAACACACACACACACACACACACAGAAACACCGAGAGAAACACACAGACAAGCCCACATACACTGACACACACAATAATGATTCATACACACGCACTCTGCAGAGCAATGTGTGACAATCTCACATACACATTCACCCATAGACACTGGGAACTGGTGTGTATGTGTGTGTCTTTATGACCAGCGCTGGCCACAGCGCATATGGCCCTCATTTAGGAACAATGGGCATGGAGAATGACTGGTTGGATGAGCTTCCTGACTGTGAGAGGTGACTGGAGGCATGTTAAATGACATGCCCCGTATGGAGAGATGGAGCGAGAGACAGAGAGAGAAAGAGAGAGAGATGTCTACATGGTTAATCCTGGATAAGGAATGGTTGCCTCGCTGAGCAACAAAAATGTTTTGATTGAGAAGGGAGAGAGGATGGGGAAAGAAAAAGGAAGGTGAGGAGGCACAAAAGGGGGAGATATCCAAAGAGCTGAAAGGGGAGGAACTTGATGGAAGAGTTTATTACAGGAGTAGAGGGACGTGGAGAAGATGGTGGTCAGCTGGGTCTAGAAGTGGGTCATTAGACAGTGTGTAAACAGCATGTCTTTTTATGAAGTGCTCTCTCTCTCCTTGTTGTGTGGTTCTCTCACAGATACACTGCTGGTGACACCTAATCAGTGTTGTGGCAGGACGAATGGCTTCCAGCCGTCCTTACAGTCTTGTCAAAAACAACACTTCCCTAAAAACCTCTCTGTCTCTCTCACTCACATGCGCTGTTCATACCTTCTTGTCACAACAACATTTCTCCGGTAATTACCAGGGTGGCCGCCCTCCTGCCGCTCCTCGATGGATGGGCTGAGCCACCATGGGTTCGCCCCTCCAGCCATAACTCTACCTAGGACGTCTGCCTACTGCTCTTCACCACTGTGGTGGCCCTCAGACAGCAAATTGGCCTGCGAGAAAGACAGAGAGACAGAAAAATATACTTAAACAAGAACACAGCCTGGCTCACAGAGAAGTAGGAATGCTAGTGCACAGACATGAAAGACATGGAGATGGATACACACACACACACACACACACACACACACACACACACACACATTCACTTTCACTTTTTTATTTGTCATTTGCCAGTCTCAAAGGAGTAATTTATAATACAGACAGTCTTTTCTTCTGACCACTGGCCAGACAGATATCTTTCCTCGCACAGATACACAAGTGCACACACATACACACACCCACCCTGCTGAGGTGATCATTTTGACAGGTGAATATGGCTGAAGAGCAGTGGAGGAGTGACGAGGAGGGGAAATGAGGATGGAAGCGTGGGGAGAAATAAACTGATAACTGATGAAGGGTGATAACGTCAGGAAAGCAGGAATATGGATGGAAGTAGTGAGGCAGCTGGCAGATCAATACTCAGATCCACAATCTGCATCCAGAGAGCAGGCATTTTATTAATGTCTTCTCTGGGATTTTTCCCCCTCCCATTCTTATATTATTTACACTGTATTTCTGAGTTACTACAGTAGATAAGGTGGAGGAAGAAGCAGAGGAAGAAATAAACAAGATGGCATGTGGTGTATTTCAGTAAGTGCATCTGAACTAGTAAGGACACCAAAGGAATTTTGGTGTTTATAATTTATTATGGAGACTAGCAAATGGTAAATAAGGCTTTTTCTAGATCATACTTTCATCCCATAAAAATTTGTTTAGGCCACAAGAATATATGTTAATATAAACTTTAATGGCAACAAAATAAAAACATGGCAGTTAACAATTACTCATTGTTTATTAAACTCTTAACAGAAATGTGTAGGCCTAATGCTATATCATATTTTCCCCCCACTTACAACAGGATTATACATTTAGACAGAAAGTGAAATCTAAAGGGTACAGGAGAGGTGCTTTATCATGTACAAACACTCCAAATGATTAAAACAAAATCATCCCCCAAAATTAACCTCACAAATAATGTCATGGACACTTGGACATCAACTGTTTTTAAATGCGTCTTTTTTGTTAGACTATAGAGTGGGGTTAGCACTATTCACTGGGTTGAGAACAGAAATCCTACTTTCTAGCTGCTTTGAACGCATCTCCACCACCTTGGGAAACAGGGTGTTGTCAAGACAACAGGTAAACTCTGGCCCGAGTAGACATGGCGGAGGTGCTGAAAATAAAAAGTGAGGTCGAAGAGTTTCAAAGGGAATTCTTCCACAGAAACAGGTAATAGTGTAATAGGTAGTATCATAGTATAATATTCAGATATGAACCACCATTGTGGCGCATGGCAGTCAAAACCAAACTTACACCAATTAGCTAGCTAACGTGACTCGAGACGTCATCTAACGCTCGTGTCATGCTTTTGTTAGTTATACTGGCTAACTTAACTAGCACCGTGTTTGTGCTTAGAGTTAACTATCACTGACTCCATACTTACCAGCAAACAGCCGTTGCTAGTTGCAAAAAACGGTGTTAGTGCAGACAACTGAGATGTTTGTCGTGTTATTAGCAAAGACAGTGCTTTGTGTACGTAAAGTACAGATAGGTATTGTTTACCTGGTTATATGGTGTGTGTGTGTGTGTGTGTATATATATATATATCACAGTGAGATATTGAAGCTACAGTAAGTTTATGCCTACAGTGTTATTTTTATGTGTCTGTGTTAGTCAAGCTGAGGAGAACAGACAGAAGGAAAACCAGGCAGCCACCCGGATTCAGAGCTGGTTCAGAGCCTGCAAGGTGCGGGCGTATCTCAGGTATAATGTGTATGTGTGGTGAGTCCAATTTGAGTCTGTAAACCAGAAAAATAGACGTTTTTTACTCCTTCATATGCCATAGGCATAAAAGCATACACGTCTTAATATTTTATATACCAATTTGAGGTTTGAATTTTCCTTCAGGGGTTGAAAAACATTCAGGCAGCATTCTAAGAGTTAATTTCAAGGGAAACCCTGATACTAGCTCACTCTCATAATTATCCCACTTCTAGAGCTTTGCAAATGGCCTCCAGGAATAAATGTGGCTTGCACTCTGTGCTCTTTCTCACACACAGAGAAATAAATGTCTCTATCTCCGTGCTTGTTCCTATACTGTGACCCCAGCACCATTCTGCAGGGTCAGCAGACAAACTTCCAGACAGTAGGTTAATTCAGATTACTTTAGTTAATTGATCAATGCATTAAGTGGATAATTAGCAACAATTTTAGCTGCCTAAGTGCAACTCCGGGGTTGTGCTATCCCCACTATAAGCATTGATTTTCTAGGCATATGAATGGCCTTTTGGAAATTGATGGCCTCATTGGAGGCAGAGAATCACAGTGGACTTGCATTTAGAGTATGTTTGAAGATGAATACAAATGTGTGCTGCTGACTAAAGGGGGTGAAAGGCTCATCAGACATGATCGAAAAGCCTGGAGGAGCAGAAATGTTCTGTGTGTGTGTCTTCGTGAGAGAGTGTGTTTGTAAGCATAATGTTTCCCTGACCTTTTAATTGAAGTCCTTTACAAAACAACATTTTGTATGCAGAAAAAAAACCCACTCTTGTCTTTATTGTTTTAAAAAAACAGAGATTATAGTTTATTATAGCAGTAGTGGCTTTAGAGAGTTTTGTGATTAAATTAATAAAAAATGCATTACATACAGGAATGCAATTCTTTTAGCTTTTAGTTTTTTTTTTATTTAAAGCTCCCTCATATTTCTAGAAGGTTTTAATGTTCTTGCTTTTTAGGTTTTAGATTTCTTGTATTCAATTAGAAAATTTCTGAGCATAAACCGACTACCTAAAGATCAAACAAAGAAATCCACAATTTAATTTCCTTCCATATGTATCGGAATAACTTTTTTCAGTGTTTTGCTTCATTTCAACTACTAAAACCTATCCAACCCTGTCCTCAAAATGACTTTTTTTTATACAGCCATCTGCACAAGAAGGCAATCATTATACAGAAGATATGGCGGGGCTTCACAGCAAGGGCACGTTTCAGACAAATGGTGAAGGTAAGCCAGCGCCTGGAACAGCTATAGATATATTGATTATGTTATGATAGCATGCATTAGAATTCAATTGCTATATTCCTGAGTCCCTGCGTCTGACCTTAAGAGATATAATTCACTCATTACACATTGGGAAATTAGCACTTAGGAATATGATGCAGTATGATAAGGAATTTCATCTATATCACAACTCCTGGGATATGCGTGGAAAGACTGTGGAGAGGAATAGAAACAAGGAAAGAGTAGAGGAGTTTGTGCGCATGGTCTGTGTGTGTGGGGTGTGTGTGTGTGTGTGTGTGTATGTATGTGCTTTAGTAAAACAAGGCTCCATTTTCAGCATATTGCCTCCAACTGCTTCTTAATTGAACAGATTGTTGATACCGGATCCAATACCCAGTGCTCTCACGTATAATTTTCCCCTGGATTGAGTTTTGTAAACGTATCACAACAAGCTATTTATCATGCCTGTAAATTGACTGTTTGCTAAAGCATAACTGCCAGCCACCGTTTGGGAGGCGTTCAAGAAATGGAGGAGGGGTGGGGTGGAGGGGGGTGGATGGTGGGGGTGGGGTTGAGGGGTGTTGAAATAAACGATGAAGGATGTGTCATAACACACATATGGGCTAAAAAGAGGCTGTTTGGTCTCATTTGGAAACAGACGAGTACTAATTAGAATCACTCAAAATCACCACAGTGCACTATTTTAAATCAGCCCTGAGAGATTCTATTTTTTTCCCCTCTCTCTCTCTCACTCCTTCTCTCTGTCTTTTTCTCTCTCACTCTTGTGGACCTTATCATGTGTAATGTGACGTGCACAAAGCTTCATCTCAAAACATCAAGCTGAATTTACAACCTCCTTTCAAGTCTTTGTCTTCCTTCCCCTTTCCCTCCGCCGTGTCGTTATTAAAATAGACGTGCTGAGATATGAATCCCCTTTTATTGCCGACTCTCCAGTTTGCTCCTGAAATGTGCCCCCAGTGGTCGGCCGGCATGTTTGGTGTGCGACGGCTCGTTGAGTGCGCCGCTGAATATTCTCTGGCCTTTTGTTTGTCACTTCTGGCAGTGCTGTCATTGATTATGAAATCCAGAGGAGAGCGTTTGGCCGTCATACATCTCCATTAGCTCGCTGCTTGACTACCATAGATTTTCTTGGCCCTTGTCTGCGTTGGTGTATTAAGAGAGTACCGTCCTCCCCTTGATACAAAGCCCCGCTAACCACTCTCTCTTGCTCTCTCTCTTTCCTCTCTCCCTTTCTCTCTCCATCCTACTGACATTTTCCTCTTGTTCCTCTTGTCTTTCTTGCTTTCCTTCCCTCCTTTTCTGCCCCCTTCCTTCCCCTCTACAGTGGCCCTATCTGTGCTGCCTCTGTGCAATGTATTATGTATAAAGAGCTCTTTATCTTTGACGCCTGCTGTGGACAGATCAGAGGGCTGGGAGACAAGATGTAACGCCATCTTTTCCTTTGTGTTCACAGGCGGCATATTTTATCATGAAGATGAATTTCTACGAGGAGATGGCGGTCAGGGTAAATATCACCACAGTGTCTTGTTTTAGCAAATGGAGCGTCGTGGTGGGGGGACACTCTGTTTCTCTGTGTGTCTGCTGTGAATGGGAGGCCCCATGAATTGCAGCCTGTAAGCACTTCATCTCACCACTTCATCGCAATGACTGTCCATCATAGCAACTTTTTAAATCTTATAATGCAGTGTTTTTTCCCTACTTTTGATGTGGCATATTGTTGACATTCCAGCACAATTCAATTGCATACGTAATTTAGGCCTATTAAAATCAGGTATAATAAACAAAAGAAAAAACAATTTTTAGGAATGCATTTATATATGCTGTATATATTTTGGATTTTTCCTCAGCGCTCATGCCCATCAAAAGTTCCCTTTCTCCCCTCAGCAGCTACTAATGCTCAACTCATAAATCACACCACCATGGCTGTGACTGATGTTCTGGCACTTTTACACAAGGATATTGCACAGAAACCCTATATTTTTACAATTCCATATAGCCTACTCTTTTGGCTAACAGTTTCACTCTGCCTAAACCATTAAAGTGTTTTATAGGCCTACAAAAGATCCACTTGTGTTTATTGAAGAGGGTGTGTCACTATCCAGCTGGACAGAGATGACTGCAAAATTTTCATATTGGTGGAAAAGCTTGGAAATTGAGGGCTTCAAGTTTTACACTTAATAGAAACCCAAACAAATTTGAAGTTGACCACCCTGTCATTTCAATAAATGTCACATAATAAGAGAAATAATAGATTCTGGGGTAGTGTTTGACCCAGGTACTTTAACGTTAGGGGTCTTGATGTCTGCATGTAGAGCAGAGCAGGAGCTTCTGAAGTTAGAGAAAAGAGACCTTTTTTACCCATATAAAATAACCACAGTTTCCGAAAGGAAGCAATAGGAATTTTAATGGAAAATGAAATATATGTGAACAGGGCATCCAAGTGGCTCTGTGGTTAGGAATTCAAGAAAGTACTGGGTTTGAAAACCCACAAGGGCCAAATGAGGCTCTTCTGTGCAGAGTGCATTTTATTCTGTGTGCTTGTCTGGGTTTTCTCTTGGTGCTTCACTTTTCTCCCACCACATAAGACATACATGAAGGTTTTAGGAACACTCCTGCCACTGTCCTTGACCAAGGCTTTGGCCTCCCTGAGCGCTGCACTGTGTACTGCCCACTTCTCCTAAAGAAATATCATTGGGCAAATGCAGACACAAATTTGTAACACATAAAAAGGTTCAAACTTGTTATGAATAATGAAAGGATACTGTGAAATATCTCGTTTTTTTTTAATAATGCCCCCTCAGGGTACCCCCGGGGTCTTAAAAGTAAGTAAATTTCATTACCAAAGTATTAAATTTCGAGCGCTAATGGAACAGCAGAGCTGGAAGACCCACTGAAGGTTACTGGTCAGTGAATGATACAACAGCAACGGAGAGACAAGTGTGTATGAGACGAGGACGGGTCTGTGTGTCAGCGTTGCGCCGCTGTTGTAGGCCAACGTTATGTGAATGGAAACATCAAACTAACGCACAATAAACTTACATCACCCAGATGCGCCGATCACGGGAACGAAGGAAAAACAAACTGGAGCCCAACTCCTTATCCCCGCTGCTTTCAAGCCAATACTATATAATACTATATTTCAAACAGCCTTTAGATGCTTTAGAAAAACAGAACAGGATGAATAATCACTGAAGCAATTGGCATATTATATTACATTACCTACAATTTGTTTGTATTTTTGATTTCACCCCTTAAGAGTTCTTAGTGCACAAATATTGGATTCATTTCATAGGTGTCATTTATGCTGTGGATACTGGGGACATGTCTCCATCACTTTTTTTAAAGCATTTGTTAAATATGTTCTGAAAAATGGCTTGCAACAAGAAATGTTAAAAAAAAACAAATAAAAATACTTTGAGAAAGGTTTATTTGCATTGCATGTTTTCTTAAATAAGAAAATGCAATTTAAAGATAAAAGAAACAAATGTGCATTGTTCAAAAAAGTTTACGCAAAAAAAATCTGAATCACTTTATTTAAATAAAGACAATTCTACCATAAATTTGTGCAGAAAATGTCTCCAGAATGCAGGAAATTAAGTGTTTAGTGCTCAAGATTTTCTAGGGGACCCCCAGACCCCCATTTAAATATATTTCAGCATTGAATCTTCATCAGAAGGTGTTAAAATATCTTCTTATCTTGTTCTCGTGAACCCAATATTGTGAATTGTGTATGTGAGCTAAGTGTATCGTCACACCCCTAATCTGAACCCTTATGTCCCCACCACTTTTCAACAAAAAGTGACATCCTTGATTCATCTTATCTTATCAAAGTACAAACACACCCCAAGCTATAGTGTGTTAAATATGAATGTATTATAATAAAATGTTTTATTAAATTTATGTAACTTTGTAAATAATTTTCTCGGGCTTAAAATGAATAAATAATAATTTTAAACAGCAGTGAAGTTAGTATTAAATTTCTCCGGCAAAGTATTGGCAAGACAGAGAGTGAAGGGCCTGTACTCGCAGACCATCTTATACCAAAGAAATATTCAATGTGTAAATAGAGAGAAAGAGTGAATGGGGGAAAATAAGGAGAAACAATCATCTGAGAATCCCCTTGTGACACTTCCTTTGAATCAATTTAGAATCTTTTCTTTTTTTTCTCTCCCCTCCTGTTGTCTTTATCATGGCGTGGTAGCTAACAGAGGATAATGTATTAGGGCCATAATAGAAACCAGTGTTTACATGCCGCACCTCGGATTTGTATTAGATTCAACAGCATCGATTGCACTAGTCAACAAAGGTCAGCAAGAACTCGGGAGGCGGCAATTACTTTATTTAAAATTATCTATTGACTGGCAGATCAATGCTAATTCTTATTTTGCTCTTTGTTGTTTTTCCCCATCCTCCACTTCTCCTCCTTTCCTCTCTCCCCTCTTCTCATAGTGTGATTATTCTTTTACCTGCCATTGTTTTAATCTCCTAATTAGTCTGAAGGACATCCGCCCCCTTGCTTTAAAATGGTCCACTGGTGAGTGTGTGGGTGTGTGTGTGCTAGCTAATCTGCGGCCTCCACAATCAATGTGGACTGATACAGTTAAACGTATGGAGGTGTGACAGCTGTTTGTCCCCCCTTGGATTGTTCCTCTATCACTACAGGGTAAAAAAACTGCTGGTGCATACATGGTTTAAAGCGTTCTCCCATATATGCTAATACCATCATCCTAATACCATTATTTTATTATGTTTAAAGTAATGTCTAAAGGCTTGGCAAGACTGTATTTAGACAGCAAATACAATGATGGGACCTATAGCAATGTCTTTGTCTCTGTGATGTAGTATTACGCTGGTACTTGTCTGTGAAGATTCTCAGTCATCCAGGTCATAGTTGTCCAAGGAAGGTTAAAATCAAGGGCAGCTAGACTTGGTTAAAGATACTTGAAGACGTTGTGCCTCTCATCCTAGTGGCTTGAAGAAGGCCTGAAGAAGCCCCTTGGATGAGTGGCGAAACGTCTTCAAGGTTCTCCACCAAGTCCAGTTGCCCTTGATTTTATCCTTCCTTGGATATGCTGGTACTTGTGTTAATATTGTATGTTGCTAGAGCAAAAGAAACAAAAAAAACATGCCATAATGCTTTACTTAACTGTCTGTGAAGAGCAATCCTATTTGGTATTAGTCATTGAAATAATGGCTATGTGAAGCTAATTATTTCTTTCATATGCTAAGAATTAAGCAAATTGCCACACTACCATATTTCCCAGCTTCCTCATCTCCCCATGTTGTTGGCAAACCTCTGAAGAAAACCTCTGTCATGCTCTAATCCATCACAGATCCAGCGGAGATGGAGAGGATTCTTTGTGAGAAAGTATATTCATAATTTCTACGCACGCAAGAGCTATCTGGAAGCACTCTCCAGGAAAAATGAACTTGTCAGGTAAAAAAAAAATCCAAAACAAATGGTGCTGTATATTACAGTTTGACGTCATTGCAATAGAATGAATGCCTGCTCTTCATAATGCACAGTACGACAGCAACAAGAAGTAAGCAAGCTGTACCCTTTTTGTAAAAAATGTTAACTACAATACTTCACTGCTTCTCCTGTCTTTTCCCATTTCTCTCATATGTCTCACTCACTCCCTGTCTTGCTGTTTTGATGTTTTTGTACCATTTTCCCTTTTACGTATTGTGGTAAATCATATCTTTGCCCAGGGACCACTACATAACCGCAAAGGGACTCGTCAGTCAAGATGAATTGATTTGATTAGATTAGTGTAAAGGCAGTTGGTTAAAAGGTGTGCTTGTGTGCCCATAACCTTAAAATATATGTATCTGTGTGTGAGAGAGGAAAGAGTGTGTTGTAAGATCTGTACTTGCATAGTTGTTACCTCAGAAGTAGAATGGGGACAGGAATGGAAAAGTGAAGGAATGAAAGAGACGGAGAGACTACGAGCGGAAAGAAGAGAGAGAGAGAGAGAGAGAGAGAGAGAGAAGTCCTCTAAAGTGCTCCAGGCTAAGAGCGAGAGAAGTGAACGATGTGAAGAAATTAAAAATTAGCCTCTGATTTGAACCGCAGCTCGTGCATTAATAAAACATCCTGTGCTCCAGGGCTTACTGCTAGAGATACGCCATCTTTTATTTTTGACAAAAAAAACATCACGTTTAGCTAATAGTCACATTTTTAATGTTGCTAATATATTTTACCACAAAATATCTTTAGGCTTCTGCTAAAATTAAATGTAAATTTGTTAAAGTGCTCCTTGGATCACTGACTTCCCCCCCTCACTTCCCCACCAGCGTTCCACCTTTCCTCCACACTCCTTGCCCCTTTCAGAGGTAGGGGGAGCTAGGCTGTGTAAGTCCATTAAGGAAGTGTTACCACTTTAGTATTATAATAACACAAAGACAGACACACAGGACTTTGTCAAGTGTTTTCACACAATACATGTTTAAAACTGGTAAAATCCTGCTCATACTGTTTTTTCTTTTCCACTATGCTTTGTCTAAAACAGGGGTCTTAGCCACAATATAAGTGTGTGTGTGTGTGTATGTATGTATGTATATATATATATAATATGCTGCTATGATTTATCAAACTTGACTAAAAAGTAAATAGAATGAACTTACAGAAGTCATAGCAAAAATATATTTGTAAGTGTAATTAGAACAAAGGTTACATACATTACTATGCGGTCACAGTTTTCCGATCTTTTTTTACCTTCTTGTATATATTAAAACAATTAAACACAAAGAGCAGAGTTAGACTAGATTAGAGAAATGTAGTAATGAAAGATTATTGTAAAACTAAATTCAAGGAGCACAAGATGTGATGTCATTTTACTGGTTTGGTTTTACTGCTTCATTATCAACTGTGTGACATCCCCATTTACACACACACACACACACACACACACACACACACACACACACACACACAGCCCCTCCTTCACAGTGGTTTGGGGTGTTGAGGTCACTCTCTCTCCAGTTAATCACATGTTTATTTAGTGCTGCCAGGGTCACGATCAATTAACGCCGTGCCGGCATTTATTTAAAATATCCTTTCTGTGTTAGCCGCTGAGCCCTTGGATCGCACGCTGCTTGATCACTCACCCCGCAAAGGTCCGCTTTTTAATCCACCTGCTCCCTCCCTCTTGTAAGTCTGTCTGTCTGTCCAAACCTGCTGCATAAATTATTCAAAGTTGGACTAATGGTCCCCATTTAGTGCAGGCTGATCGGCTGTGCATGGTAATGATATAGGAGTAATACATACACTGCTGAACCTCTCTCTCTTCTCTCTCTCTCTCTGACTCTTGTTTCAGTCTCTCTTTCTCTCTCATGACAGATCTCCCTCGCACGTGTCATTTCATTAGGTACAGCATCCAGCTAATACACGCTACTTACACTACCCTCTTCTATCCCCTGCCCTCACTCTGCCTCCCTCCCTCAATCTCTGCCTTTCCCCTTCTCTTTCTCAATCTGTTTTGCTCTGTATCTTTCTCTCCCTCTCTCTCTGCCACCGGTTTACTGTGCTTCAGTGTCCATCCTCATTCATCCTTCCTCTCCTTCTGCATAGCCTAATGAAGTCAGGACCCTAGTGCAGTCCCCACTCTGCCACAGTTTTCCTTGATACCCCAACAATTTATCACTTTGTCAGGGAGACACTTAAAGTTCCTTGGTTTTAATAAGGGCATGCAGTGGGACGATGGGGGCAATTAGGCAAGCGGAGCAAGTCCGCTTTGCATATTTACTAAATGTGCTGGTGTCATTGCTGCCACCACCAACACGGCCTGTTGACTGCATGAATTATTCCTCTATCTGCAATAAACAGCTGGGTAATTATTACTGCCATAATCAGATAAATACTTCTCCTTGTGATGTTGCAACGACATGGCAAAATCTTTTAACTTCTCCCGTAGAGAACAACCGAGAATTCATTGCTAGGCTGAGCAGCACTAGTGTAATTTTTTATTCTTCTCTTTTTGTGCCATGCTGTCTCTCTTCCTCTATCTACTTTTTTCCCTGTCTCTCCTTAATCCAGCCTTCTTCATTCCTCCCTCTCTTGTGTCCCTTTCAAGGACATTCATGAAAGGAGAGCTGCTATGGTGGAGAGTGCGCGGGCCTGCCTGCACGCCTGCCCTACGATCACTCTCCGCTTCTATGCGTCAGTCTTTCTTTTGCTGCTCTCTCTTTCTGATCCAGTTTGGGTGGAGACAAGTTCACTCCTTCAGTCTGATTGGATTTGTATATTCTGTGTGTGTGTGTGTGTGTGTGTGTGTGTGTGTGTGTGTGTGTGTGTGTTAAAGTATAATCTGGGTGCTGTGCTCCCCCTGCCTTCTTAGGAAATAACTTTTCAAAGTAAAACAATCGGAGGAAAGTATGTAAAATGTATGAAGTTTTGAATATTAGCAATATTCATTGGAGATCATTTCAACAGTGGAATCGTACTGGCATCAGTTTTACTACTTTAGTGAATTAGTTAATCAATCAGTCAGTCATTTAAATGGAAACGCTGTGTTATAAGGTTGTTGAAGGCTCAATACATTGAGCCGGCCACTGTCTAAATTGACTGGCTGACTACCCACTCCTTGCCAGCTATTGAATCATTCAATTGGCGCATTTAAAACAGCCAATCAGGTCAAGCCTCCATTAAATATTTAGAACCTTTCCAATTAGCTGGCCTGGATGACCGCAGGTGTGGCCTGCTGTCCCACAATGCATCAGTCTCTGATATCCCGTCAGACCTTGACACCCCGTTGTGAACCATGGAGTAAATAATAGAAGAAGAAGTGAGACATTTAGTTATATGATATTAGCCATTTAAATAACTTAACAGTCCAGGGTGAAAATGTCAGTTAGAGTTTCAATAATTTGAAATGTGTGCTTGATTAGCTTGTCCAACAGTTCAGCAGCCATCAGAAGTATAGTCAGAGTGCTCACACTGCATTATATGGCATATTATATGCCAATAATCATTATAATGGAGTACACGCAATAATAAAGTAATACTAAACTGTGCAAAATAACTTTAAATATTAAATATATAAATGTATATATCAAATTACAATCATAGATGTTTGAAATGAAGATGATGAAAAAGTAAAAGTAACACATTTTTACTTGACTGTCAAGGAAAACTATATCAGCTCTAAATATCCCTTCCAGTAAACACAATGCCTTAAAGGACAGGATTGTGTTTAAAACAATAACTACATGTACATTGAAACAGGTTTTGCTTGCTGTAATCATTCCTCCTGCTCATACTTGCAGTGAAGAGACCACTTCCTCATGCAGTGTAAGAGATGGGTGACAGTCCTCCTTCCTTTGAAAAATATAATGTAAATTCCCTCTTTTTGTTACTCTGCTTCCCCTACAACACAAATAGGGTATTTTATATAAAAAGACTGTAATAGTGGAAGATACCCATTTGATTTGTCTAACTTAGCATAGACTCAAAAAGCTGTTAAGTGTAAAATACAATAATGAGCTTAAACAGTAAAGAAGTTTGAGTGGCAGTGGTAGTAGGAATACGTGTTTTTAAAAGAATATACATAGACTCAAATTTACATTTTGCTTTCCAACCTTCTCACTCAAGGGAGATACAACCATGACTTTATCAACATTTCACCAATATGGTCAATCAGTATATTGTCTGTATTCTTAGTATATAATTGATGGTAAGTAAAATTGTCTGCGATGGACTGGCGACCTGTCCAGGGTGTTCCCCACCTTTCGCCCGATGTCAGCTGGGATTGGCTCCAGCCCCCCGCGACCCTGTACGCAGGATATGCGGTTGATGATGGATGGATGGATGGATGGTAAAATTTTGAATGAAAATGTTGTAACCCAAAGTATGACTCACAAAATACCAAATGTTTGTTTTTTGTACCTATACACTTTTGTTCAGATATAGAAGTCAAGGTATACCAAGATGATTTCTAAGGCATCAGTGTAGGTTAATTATCCAGATGTAAAAAACAAAACATATAATAGAATTACAATCCTGTGTTTTACCACACTCTTTCTTTCTTTCTTTCAGTCAAACACACACACACACACAAGCACAGGGCACGTGCTGCGTGCCGAACAGGGCTAATGAGGGTTGTATGTTGTGGCGGCTGGTTGGGTCGACACAGATCGAGGTGCCTTCAGCCGTTACAAATCTGTTTGGCTTTTGTCCACTACATAGCAATTAATAACACTGGATCTGGGGGCAAGGAAGCAAAGGTCACCCATTCAGCCTGACATGCACACACACTCGCACATATGGACACAAATATAAGCAAAAGTGTGTGAACACATAGTATGAACATTGAGACACACATACATATTGCTGATATACACACACACACACACACACACACACACACACACACAGACACACACACACATAAAGCCACGCTTAAACATTCTCAGCTCAGACCAACATAGACATATGAAAACAGGTCCCGACCCCCAGAAACATTGCCAGTCAGTTGTTAAGGTGGTATTAATGCATAAACAAACAGCAATACACACATATACTGTAAATACACACAGGCACAATTGGTGCACATTGGTTTGGGAACCAGACTGTCCCATCATAAACCAGAACTTTATATTTTACATTAATAAGTAATATCCCTTTTAGCCAGGTGGATAAATAGGGGCCAAGCAACCTCTATATTTACCCACACAGTCACGCACACAAGCATATATAGACACACAGCCGCACATTCATATACACAGTCTTAAATTACTGTGCTTAATATTACACACACACACACACATTTAGACTTGCTCTCATTCTTGCCACACACACACACACAAACACACACACACACACACACACACACACACACACACACACACACACACACAGTGCTCTGCATATTTCATTTATTTTGTAATTTAATCTGGTGCTGCTGAGGAAGGAATGAGAATGCAAAGGCAACGGGAACGGTGTTGTGATTTCTTTTTAAATGTCAGTACCCGCAGAATGTGTTAACCTCACATTACAGACACACTATGAATATTCCGGTTCCTTTGTGGAGGCTTGTAATTCAAAACAGAAGTTGAGTAGAGAAAGAAGCAAGAGAGAAGGAAAGAAAAAAGGGATAGAAAAAGAGAAGTTGGATTGTTGAAGAGCTATGGCTTTATTCTTAGCTGTGTGTGTGTGTGTATTTTCACATTTCCTTGGCATGTGTGTTTTAGTAATTGTTTCCAATTCCCTTTTTAAGTTATTACCCCCTTGTAAGTATAAGGCTGCGTGATTGCGGAATGAAATTGCTGTGTATGGGCTTTTAATGCATCCCATTTAGCCAGCTTCGCTTAACAGATGTCACACACAGACCTGTCCTGGCTGCGGTGATGAAATATATCCATCATCCTCCCACTTATAGCCTCTTGCTCACTTTGCTTTTTTCCGTCCAAGCACTCTCATTCTCTTGTTTTTCTCCCACAGCTCCTCTGTCTTTCCATGTCTGTCCCAGTCTCCCTTTTATCATTAGGACGTTTTTTATCCATCTGAAGGACACTCCAGGGAACTGTCAGCTATTCGGCACTGTGCTCCAAATACACACTAACACGTGCACAAATGTACTTGCTTTTTTACCTTGTGCACAAGTCTTTCATTTAAATAATATTAAGATATATGGTCAGAATGTCTCGGTAATGTGTAACATTACTGGTCTATTTGTTCTAGAGAAGGTATTGTCAAAATCATTAGTCTGATATGATTGTTTCAAGAAGTGAGTTAAATTAAACAAAATGTAGTGGCAGTAATCAGGCAGTCATTGTCATTCAGCAAACATACATTAGTGAGACAAACTATTGTATTTAGATTGATTAGACTACTTATGAAGACTGGAAATTATTTCTTATAAGTTGGTGCAAAATGATGAATAAACTTTGGTTTGTGTGTAATATTTCTGAGGATTTATTGACAGAAATGTAATAATATCCATACTATATATATATATAAATGAGCCATTTATATCTACATAACTGCGGACACCCCCTTCCATGGATGTTGCAGTATTGTGTCGTCATGTTTCTACCGTAGCCGACAACAGACAAACAGCGCTACAGAGCGCGTTTCGTCATAACGGCGTTCTTATGCTTGTATAATTTCAGCAGTGTAGCAGGAGAAGTGACATTTGGACAAATGAAGGCGCACACCTGTTATTTAGCACGAGCTGACAGCATGTGAATCTTAATAAGATGAAGCCAGAGGTAGTCGGGACAGATACAGACAGATGATGGCAAAAAATCACGGACATAATAGGTGTGGATTTTCCCAGATCGAAGGCTTTGATGTGGGACAGATGTTTTCAAAGTGGAACTGAAGTTGTCTGTTTTCAGCTGGACAGGTAATTAAGTTAGTCGGACTTTAGCGGTGCAAATAAAAGCTGTTGTTTGATAGCTTTAGCTAGAAGCAGGCCATAATCACTGAGAGAAGTGACACGTTTCTCCTGTCAGTGGTGTAAAATGTGTAGTTGGATTAATTTCATGTAGCCTTGTTATTCTCCAGTCTGTGGTTTGGCTTTTCCAGGTACATTAGCGAGACAATCAGCTGATCTGTAATCGTCAATAAAACGGTAACCTTAGCTTACGCATGTAAGCGATCAGTCAGCTAAACCTTTGCTGCTCTGGTAGAAAAAACATTTAGTTGGATTAGTTTCATGTATTTATTCTCCAGCGCTGTGCTTTGGCTTGTGGTGTAAAGTATGTTGTTGGATTAATTTCATATAGTTACACTCTCTTCAGCGCTATGTTGAGACAATCAGCTGATCACAAATTGGCAATAAATCAGTAGCTTTCAGCATGAAAGCTCAGATCAGCCAGCTAAACCTTTACTGCCCTGGTAGAAAAAAATATGTTGTTGGATTGTAATTTAATGTAGTTATTCTACAGCGCTCTGTAATGGCTTTGCAACATGGATAGAAATGTGCCGTTATCTTCCTGAGACAAACCGCTGATGAATATTATTGGCAATAAAACGGTAACAGCATGGAAGCTCAGATCAGCAGCTAAATTTCTGTTGAAATTCTGTTGAATACTGCCCTGGTGGAAAACATGTGGAAAACACAGTAACATTTATTTTACTGCTAATAGGGACACAACATAACCGTGTGCCTATCAAGTGACCAATAATGAATACTTTCCGAATTTGCTTAAAAAAAACTTTGCCACTGTGCACACAAATGTGTAATTTGTACTTTCACATGCTAAATGCCCATTAAAAACGTTGCTCCGTTTTACCACAAGCTGAAATTATGGCTGTCAGTACTTTCAAAAAATTGAAAAAGACATTTTGGTAAGATTTGCAGATTGCTTATCTAATTAATTAAGCAAAACAAGAGGAGCCTTGATCCTCAACTGACAATGCATTTGTAAAATTCACGTATTATGTGGTTTATAATGGACTGTGCAGAAACAGTGAGGCTTACATTTTCCTGTTATCTGTCAGTGGTCATACTTGATGCACTAGATGTGATAGTTTTTGAGATGTTCTGATGATGTTAGTCCAGATGAGCCAACCCTCCCAAGATGTAACAAAAAGTACGATTACAGTACAGTAAAATAATGTATTACAGGAGAATAAGACATCATGTAACACTTTATTTCTTGATGTGACTGTTGTTTAATGAACAAGTAACACGAATATTCACAATAAATATGGTTTTACTGAATAATCAAGTAAATATAATTTCTTAATATATCTATCTAAAGATTGCTCATTTCTTGACTGGCAACTCTCTGCTTTCTCACAGAGGACATCTTTTCCTGTCTCAGGCACCCTAGCTACACAACTCGCTTGGATAGGGGAGGGGGGGGTGCAATTTGCAGCTCTCACCACTAAATGCCACTAAAACTTACACACTTAACCTTTAAATGTTAATTTTTTTATTGTACAGTGCATATTTATTATATTTATATCTGACTGATCCCTGTCAAAAACCCATCATGTAAATTAATTAAATGGAATTTTTGAAGTGCAAACATATATGTATATGGTGTGTGTGTGCCCTGTAGGAGGGAGCTGGATGAACTTGAGGAACTCCAGAAGAGAGAGAGAGACTGTCTGGAGATGGTGAAAGAGTACGCAGTCAATGTCTACCAAGCTCACCGATTACACCACCTCATCAGTACGAAGCAGGTTGGTCTAGGAACACTATTGCACATATTTGACATAGATAGACATAGGACAATATTAAATGTTGATTCCTTCTAAACAACTATTATATTTATATTTAGCTTGTATGTTTAATCCGAAATCAGTGTCATTTTGTGCACATTAGAGAAAAAAACTCTAAAGCTATAACAAAAACTCATATCATATAACAGGACCTTGTATCAGTGCATGTAGGACTGAGTGTCAAAACTAATAACAGTAGATTATGTTTTCAGCTGTCCAGTCATTGCAGTGGGATGAATGGGAAGGAGTGGGTTGTGGGTGGTACTTTGGGTGATCAGGTGATGATACTTTAAACTCAGTGGTGCAAATTGCTGATGCCAACACGCTAGCCTGAATAATTTATTTTATTTTAATCAAATTCAACTTTCCTCCCTTTTTGTTTGTTGCTCCAGTGTTGTTAATGATTGACACAAATTCAATCCATTTACATGTGGTGGGGGGGCATGAACTTTTTTACGGCTTCTCGAGGGGGCCATAAAAGTAGGGGTTTGACAACCACTGGTCTACACAATTATATTTACAAAATATTTGTTTGTGTTTTCTCTCTTGTGAAAAATAGTTCAATGTCACTTTAAAGTAGTAAATTCATATTTCCTGACATTAAATTGCCAGGGAATGATTTAAATTCATCCCTGGTCATTGCTCTTCAATAAAAATCTCTATACAATATTTAAACCTAGAATTATATCAGACTTTGTAAAAATACATTTCATGTGCTTGAACTTCAGATTCTACATGGCAAATAGCACAATAGTGTTGTATCTTTTTGATTTAAATACATATAGAAAGTTAACAAAGCAACGCACAGTCATGCGTATACAGTATCTCTGAGACAGAAAAGTTTGAAAGAGCAATTTATGGTTGAAATTCTTACACTCTTCACACTTGTTACAATACTCTAATAACTAATAATTTTAGGTAATAATTCCAATACAGTAGTAATCATTTAGTTATTCTTGTTGAAACCGTTGGTCACCATAAAGTGCAGTAGTGACCTCAGCTAAGGAGTGTGGGTGTGAAGCCACATCCGATAACACACTGGGAACACATTTATATGTACAGCTAATTTTTGGTCATCTGGTTTCACTGTGTTTTGTCGGAAATGTACAGATAGGGAGTTCCTCTAGAGACAGGCCACAGAGAGAAAGAAAGGAAGAGCCTTCTTTCTTTCCTTCTTTTGTTAACACAGATGGGCTGTGTGGAGTTGGGGTGTGTGTGCACACATGAGTAAGTATGTGTCCACATGACTCTTCTGATGTGCTGAGCGGAGTATTTTAGTGTTTCCCCTGGGACAGGTGTGCATACCCGTGTGTGTGTGTGTGTGTGGCATCCACGTATCTCTGTGACTCCCCACTGGGATCATAATGAAGACAAAGCACACTGGTCACTGTTGATTCAGCACCACTACTGCTCCCCCCCCCCCCCCCCCCCCCCCCCCCTTAATGCCTGCACGCCCAGCATCGTCATCATCTGGCTCACTCTCTATTTCCTGCAGGTGTCCCATGTTCACCTAAGATGCTCACATACACAAAACTTTCATACATTCTACTATGAAGGTGGTGTAAGCTGGAGTGTAGTAGAGTCTGCATTTTGTCAGATCATGTTTGACTCTCCAAATGCTTTGGATTGGCTGTATGCCCATATGTTCACTGTTTTTATCATATCAACTATTTTGGATATTTTATGAATAAACCAAGAAGGAAAGAAAGCAAGAAGAAAACTTTGTGTGCTCTTCCCCGCCCTCTGTCCATCTCTTCCTCTCTATATATCTCTCTCTCTCTCTGCATATGGCAGGGGACTCTTTCCCTTCGTAGCTCTGACCTTGTCAGCAGTGAATAGATGGCTCTCCCACACAGTTCATCCTTCCTCACTTCTCGGACCCCAGCCCACACACACCCACACACACACATGCTCACACACACACAGCTTACCAAAAGGCCCCAAGTCCCTATGACAGAGATAGAGATGGTGTGTTCCTGGGGTCAACATCATTGCTCTTCCCGTAGCTAGGTTGGTACATTTGGGCTTGCATGTGCGCATGTGTGTGTTTGCGTGCGTGTGTGTGTCTTTAAGAGTGGCGAGGATTACGTTTATGTATGTGATGTGTGTCCCCAGCAGTCTGTACCTTCCTGTTTGAGTTAGGTGTGTACTCTCAAACCTAATGCATTGAATAGACTGATCCTGAACACTGAAGAAATGTCATTAAAAACACTGAAAATCCTGATTTTGGGTTTGTGTTTAGAATATTTAGAGTGCCAGACACTTCTTAAGATGTTGGAGATTTTGAGAATACATTTTATTCAGCCATAACACTCTTAATCACAGTCATGTACTGTACCCTGTACTATTGTGATATTTTTATGGGCTAGGTCCTCTATTAGAAGCTCTGAAAGGAATCTGTGAATGCAAAGGAACAAGAGCAGTCCTGCTCTAGTAGTGCAGTAATACAGTTGTAGGAGCGATATATGATCAGCGTGTGGAGTTTGCACAAGCTTCAGTAATGGTACTCTGGAGGCCAGGCCACAAATATACAGTACCAAAATATTCTTTCATGGACATACAATATCCCATTTTTATAGTTGAATTTATGCTCCAGTTAACACAAGAAGGCAAATACAATTAATTTTAGTAGAATTTATCTTTTAGTTTTTGATTATATATTATTAACTTTTGTCTGTTGCCAATATTTATTTTTATTTACTGTAGTGATTTAAAAGGTTGCATTGCATTAGTCATATTTGGATATACATGCGCACAATAATGCTGGCCGCTTACGTAATTACATAAACAGTGAATGAGAACCATAATAATTCAATTCTTGCTGGTGTATGATGCCTAAGGTCCCTTTCTTTCATAACTTGAAAGGAAGGGAGCTTATATGTTCACCAAGTAGCTGTAGATGGCATTATTGGAAAGAAACACCCATTAATATAAACCAGTTGTGGCTTGATCACATTAAAATTGTATTTGTGCCTCTGCTGGAGTCATTAAATTGTTCTAGTTTTAAGAGGCGGTCCACTCATTTGACCCAATGAAAATAATGCATTTGCTCTACTGTCCGCTTTGTGCTAGCACAAAAAAATTGCACCAAGATAAGGACTCATCGTTAAAAATCTGCTGTTATCCAGTTCTGTCTACAACCCATGGTTAGAGAAATCAGGGTCAGTGAAGTGGAATTAATTATCTCTACTCGTTCTGAAACACTTCCATCAAAAGTGCTCATGGTCTAATAATGAAACATTTACTAATTAACCAGTCTGTTAATATGTTATTTTAGAAAAGAGTGAGGTTCGGGTCAATATAGTTGGAGCAATTTCCCACTTATGCCCTTTCTCTCCGTTGTCCCAGTGTTTTAGAGTGCCCTAAATAGCAAGCAGTGTTATTAGCATATAGAGTAGATACAGAGTCCTCAAACTCAAAGCTTTGGTCTGGCAATTAACACACAGGCAAAAGGATCACTGTGATTTGAATAATTATTATTGAGTCTGTGGCAAATCTCTACCCCACTTCAGAACAGGGAGGCACAGTTTTGTATGTGTGTACATTTGTGTATTTGTGCATGTGTTGTTCTAATGAACAAGTCTTGTATAATGCCAAATTTGAGACAGATGCAGCTAGGTTGTCGCTGTAGTCATTTTTTGTTATCTAAATGCTCCAGCCAAATATGTAACCTGGCAAAAGCCTCTGATTGGCTAAGAGCCATGGTGTATGCATTTGAGGCAGTGAAGATGAACTGAACTGTTGTCAGAAGGGATACAGAATGGTGAATTTCACAAAGTTTATTATGGATAATATGAAGGGCAATAAACTTGATAAACTTTGATGAAAAACTGTATGAAAAAGTTGTCAACAAAACTGATGTTTCAAATTACCTCAGAATATTGACTCTAATAGTGGCTAGCAGTTGTTAGTTTCATTTTAAGCTGTCCCAGGAGGTTATTTAATGATCCCCTAATATTTGGTTTTCCCAAACTCCATATAGTATTTTAATACATTATAGTGTTTGGGGAGTTAAACACCTAGGACATCCTGGTGCCTCAAAAAAGTATAATCCAACTGCAACGTCCTTGGTTTGAATTTGGGTGGCGACCCGACTAGGAACCTTAAGTAAGAGTAATATCCTCATAGCCAGTCAGAAATACACGTATGCATCTACTTATATTACATTTCTTATACTTATACTGTGTCTTTCACTATATCTATAATATAGAGTTGACCTTTATCCCTCTCTCTCTTTCTCGCTCTCTTTCTTCAGTGCCCAGGGGTTTTCAACTCTCCATTCAAGCCAGCCCCCCATGAGATGGAACAACTGCTGAGGCAGGTCAAGTACCAGACCCCTACTAGACTGGCCCCGAGAGGCAAGGCTTGTCTCTTAGGCATGCCTCGCCCAACAGCCCCCAGTTTCCCTGGGACTCCTGGATCCCCATGGATGAAAACCACTAGAACCTGCAACTCCTACAGGCCCATATTGCCCCCGATTTCCAGCAAGAAACAGCAGGTGAGATGGTAAAAGGTGCAACCATGACAGACATAAGCAGGTGGAGACAGAGTAAAGTAACCGAGCACAACAATATAAAATATATATATATAATACAGGTGCTGGTTATATAATTAGAATATCATCAAAAAGTTGATTTATTTCAGTAATTCCATTCAAAAAGTGAAACTTGTATAATGTATACATTCATTCCACACAGACTGATATATTTCAAGTGTTCATTCCTTTAATTTTGATGATTATAACTGACAACTAATCAAAACCCCAAAATCAGTATCTCAGAAAATTAGAATATTGTGAAAAGGTTCAATATTGAAGACACCTGGTGCCACACTCTAATCAGCTAATTAAGTCAAAACTCCTGCAAAGGCCTTTAAATGGTCTCTCAGTCTAGTTCTGTAGGCTACACAATCATGGGGAAGACTGCTGTCCAAAAGACGACCATTGACACCTTGCATAAGGAGGGCAAGACACAAAAGGTCATTGCCAAAGAGGCTGTCTGTTCACAGAGTTCTGTGTCCAAGCACATTAATAGAGAGGCGAAGGGAAGGAAAAGATGTGGTAGAAAAAAGTGTACAAGCAATAGGGATAACCACACCCTGGAGACGATTGTGAAAGTGGGAGATTCACAAAGAGTGGAGTGCAGCTGGAGTCAGTACTTCAAGAACCACCACGCACAGATGTATGCAAGACATGGGTTTCAGCTGTCACATTCCTTGTGTCAAGCCACTCTTGAACAAGACACAGCGTCAGAAGCGTCTCGCCTGGGCTAAAGACAAAAAGGACTGGACTGCTGCTGAGTGGTCCAAAGTTATGTTCTCTGATGAAAGTAAATTTTGCATTTCCTTTGGAAATCAAGGTCCCAGAGTCTGGAGGAAGAGAGGAGAGGCACAGAATCCACGTTGCTTGAAGTCCAGTGTAAAGTTTCCAGAGTCAGTGATGGTTTGGGGTACCATGTCATCTGCTGGTGTTGGTCCACTGTGTTTTCTGAGGTTCATGGTCAACGCAGCTGTCTACCAGGAAGTTTTAGAGCACTTCATGCTTCCTGCTGCTGACCAACTTTATGGAGATGCAGATTTCATTTTCCAACAGGACTTGGCACCTGCACACAGTGCCAAAGCTACCAGTAGCTGGTTTAAGGACCATGGTATCCCTGTTCTTAATTGGCCAGCAAACTCGCCTGACCTTAACCCTATAGAAAACCTATGGGGTATTTTGAAGAGGAAGATGCGATATGCCAGACCCAACAATGCAGAAGAGCTGAAGGCCACTATCAGAGCAACCTGGGCTCTCATAACACCTGAGCAGTGCCACAGACTGGTCGACTCCATGCCACGCCGCATTGCTGCAGTAATTCAGGCAAAAGGAGCCCCAACTAAGTATTGAGCTGTACATGCTCATAGTTTTCATGTTCATACTTTTCAGTTGGCCAACATTTCTAAAAATCCTTTTTTTGTATTGGTCTTAAGTAATATTCTTATTTTCGGAGATACTGAATTTGGGATTTTCATTAGTTGTCAGTTTTAATCATCACAGTTAAATGAAATAAAGATTTGAAATATATCAGTCTGTGTGTAATGAATGAATATAATATCCAAGTTTCACTTTTTGAATGGAATTACTGAAATAAATCAACTTTTTGATGATATTCTAATTATATGACCAGCACCTGTAGACAGAAAGATTAAAAAGAAAGCAATAAAGCATTCACCAGTTTTTTTTTTCCAGTTTTTTTTTTTTTTTGTTTTAGAAAGTGTCTAACTAATGTGTCTGACTAATTATTAGAGCCCCCCAACATCCCCTTCTTGTCTTGTTGGAGGTGGTTCTTTATGCAAGCAGAGGGCCTTTAAAACATTTTCTAAAAAAGAATGACATCATTAAAACATGGCAGACAGCCCTCTTGGGGGATACTGCACAGAGTGGTTTATTGTCTGGATTTCTGACTGAGGATGTGACTGTTACTGTCAAATACTTGTGTACCACAGTGTGTGTATTAAAAGTGGGTCCCATGTGCAGCTCTCATTTGTGTTCCTCATCAGTTCATCAGTGCACAAAGATCCATCCATCGTCAACCGCTTATCCTGCGTATAGGGTCGCGGGGGGCTGGAGCCAATCTCAGCTTACATCAGGCAAAAGGCAGGGTACACGTTGCCAGTCCATCGCAGGGCCACACATAGACAAACAACCACTCAGACTCATATCCACACCTAAGGACAATTTTGGAGACACCAATTAACCTAGCCTGCATGTCTTTGGATGGTGGGAGTAAGCCGGAGTACACAGGGAAAACATGCAAACAACACACAGGGTTTGAACCCATGACCTTCTTGCTGTGAGGCGACAGTGCTAACCACTGCACCACTGTAGTAGTCTGTTGTATTATATCATTAGTTTTTTTTTAATGTATTGGGGCACTGGAAGAGAATAGTCAATGCATATTTTGCATCAGAGAAACAGATATAACTATGTCATTTTGTGTATTTAGGGACCTCCATCTGACCATATTAATGCTGCATTAGCAACTTTTGACCACAGTCATTTCTGAAAAAGGCACACTCACAAGAACACTGTCTTGACATACATATCAGTTTAGATAGTAAGTTATTATACCTAAACATTATGCATTCTGCAGTGCATTTTTTGAATTTGTGTTCGCAATAATGTAAAAAGTAGCAACAAGTTAGTGATGATAAAATGGTTTTCATCTTCACATAAAAAATCTTACATTTCTGAAACTGTGTCCACTTTGGCTGCATTTGTGCACCAAGCATCATCGATGTCAAACACAGAGTCTGCCTACTCTTGTCTCGGCGGAGTCTTGCACTCTGGCTGCTCGTATCAAGGTCTGCCTGGTGAGTGCTTGATCTGGATGTTGATGGGAGCAGGTGTCTGTAAAGATGATTCCCTGTCGTTTGGCCAACCTGAGTCCCATTTCGTCCAGACCAGACCTTAGCCAAGAGCAAGTCCAAGCCAGCTTCGTGCCTATCCGGGCTCTCTTTCCTCTCCTCTGGGGCAATCACAGCACCAACCGTTGTGCCTTGTCCAGTTGATCTGAGTGGGGGAATTGTCTCAAGGTCCGCTTCTAATTCAGTACTCAAAACTATTAATGTAGCTTTAAAGCAATGCAACAGTTAAACTGTTGAAGGATCCTTTCAATTGCTGTCAATTTACAATTTATCATGGTCCAGCTGTGCATTTATGCATGTGTGTACGTATGGGATTGTGTGCATATGTGTGTGTATGGTGATGATTTGATGAGGAGCCATTTCACCATTTGTGTTATTTACGCTCTGTAGCTCTTTATGGCAAAGTGCTTTCCCTATTATTAGTTTCTAGTAATGTAAAACATAAGTGAGCAGAAATGAGGCGTGGATCTGTCTCATTTTATTAGCTGCACTTCACACACACATACTCGCAGACATGTGACCAGCTGGCTGTAGTTAGAGTGAGTTCATTAAAGCAGTGGTTCTCAAAGTGTGGTCCGGGGACCCCCAGGGGTCCTTGAGGGAGTTCCAGGGGGTCCCCAGCAAAAAGGGGAATCATTTATTGTCAATCATTTCATCAATGAATTTTCATTCATTCAAGTCCATCCATAAGTGACATAGTGACGAATTTTTGGTCATGGATTCCATACACTTTCTGGAATAAAATATCTAAAAGCCAAAATCCTACCATATGGGCGATCCTGGAACAAAATCTTATCAAATGGGGGTCCGCGGTCTAATTTGAAAAGGTTTCAGAACCATATGCATTAAAGGTGTCAGGAAAGTGTCTTGGTGCTGACATGGAGAATAATTCCTTATTTATCTATATTTATATACGTCTGTCTTTCTCTGTCTCTGCCTCCTGTGTTTCTCTGTTTTGAGAATGAGTGTGTGTATGATTAGTGCAGGAAGTCCCCCTTTCTTTCTTTTGCACTCAACCCCACAACCCCTCCCTCCCTGGTGTGATAACTATCTTGTGGTGATGGATAAGGTTGAGGTGCTGGCTGTGGAAGTGGTCAGGCCAGGCCACTGATCCCGTCGTGATAGGAGCAAGGACAGGGTTCCCGTCCCTCCCTCTATCTCTCCCCCTTCATCCTCCCTCTTTTTTTAACACCAAACAACAACTGAAGGTCACCTCAAACAAAGCAACAACATTTAAGTTAATCGGCACTGCACAAAGTTTACACACTACCCTCAGAAAAGAGCATATACACTTACATACAGTTACATGGTAATGCATGTTTAGAAGTAGGGCTGTCCCCGACTAAGGATTTACATAATCCAATCAGAATTGCCAAGTCTTGCCTGCAGTCGACTGAAAATGTGTGTTTTTGTGCGCGGCAATTGCAAGCGGCTGGAGGGGGGGGGGGGGTTTATACACGGTAGCTCTGCTTTAATCTTGAGAAGCTGCAGCGCTGCAGTCTCTATTCATTAGTCAGTGTAACTTACACTGTACATTTACAGCTAAACTGAGGCTTATTGTTGACCATTTTCTCTCTGATCACCGGTCTTGTGCAGAGTTTTGTGTGCATGCCGTGTGGCAACTAACTTTACATGCACGTCACGGTTCCTCACGGGTCTAGTTCAAGTAGCCTGCGATTTAAAAATGATATAATATTCTTTGTGTGTTTCATCTACGGTGATAAATGATCTGAACGTCCCGCTAGGTGCGGACAACTCGGGACAACACCTGGGAAGCTGGGGCTCCGTCTCAACAGCAAGTGTTCCCCTTCTGCAACTACACACATGCACTGACGCCCCCGGGGTTAGGTGTACAATTTTGGATTTATTCATGCACTTTAAAAACATTTATTTAACTTTTTATTTTTTACATGTTTAATAACAGCATTATATGTTGAAATTTATATTTTAATAGGCAGTATATTCATTTATTGGGAGAAAACTTGTAGTTCTATGTAAAATCAGACTTTGATCACACATAAAAGTTTCAATATTTGTTTAGTATTTGTAACTGAATGGAATTTTTGCATAATTTTGCATATTATGTAAAGTAACATGACAGGTTAATGAACCATTAACCTAATTTTCCCTCTACATCATCAAAACTAGAATGAATAAAAATCACTGAGTGTTGAGTTTTAAGAAATACATTTCTGTAACCAGAAATTACAAAAGCTTCCAATGCGATCACTTTTTAATTTAATGGTTAAGACATTAACCACTGTATGTTTCAGATGTATCCAATGCCTTCAGTACAAGGGTATGACGAGGATGATGAAGTCTCAAGGGGATGTAAGGGGGGAAGTGAGGTTAGACAGGGAATGGCACAAGAATTTTCGCTATAAATGACATTTCTTTGTCTTTGCAACTTTGATATGTCAGTAGACATCAGAAACCCATCACTCCAGGGTAGGAGCCACAATGTCAAGAAGAAGTACAAGGAATGAAATTGACAGACAGCTGTTTAAAGTTTAACAGACTTGTTTGTGAGTTTTGAAAAAAACAGTTGGATGAATACAGTTAGAGAGAAAACATGATATATGTTTTATGCAAATGCAATTCAAGCACTTTACAAAGAATTAAAGATAATGGTGGTGTTCCTTTATCTTTTCCCCAGACAAATCCCCAGAAAAGCCCAAAACCAACAATGTGTTTCACCTGTTAGAGACACTGTGTGTGTAGCCACTGCCTAATAAAGTGAACTTTAATCTTGTTAAAAACACATAAAAAGATCTCTGGTAGTGGGTGATATATTCCATCATTGTTGTTATGTGTTGTCTTGAAAACATTTTTTTACTTAATAATTGTCCATGGGAAGATAAAGCCTGATTAAACCACATGAGGTTGATCAGACAATATAGTAGTTTTTTGCTATCTTGCTTACTTTTTGTCGCTCCTCTCCCCTCTCTCTGTGTTCCTTTTAGTCTGGCATATTTTTTTTTTTGTTCTCCCTTCTCTCTTTCTCCTGATATCATTTTCTTCACTTGCTTTCTCTCTCTTTCTCACTCTCTCTTAGTCTCTGTGTCACAGGAGGCGATATGAAGAGGATTGGCCTCTGGTTTTAGCAGTAAGCCATCACTACCTGTGGGAGAGGGATCAGAGAAAGAAAGAGGTAGGGGTCTGAAACAGTTATCTGATGTGTGTGTGTGTGTGTGTGTGTGTGTGTCCTTCTGTGTGTGTTGGTGGTTGTGGTTATTTCAGGGTCTGTTTAGAGAACCGGGGGAAGTGTGGGAGCAACGCGTGCATTGTCCTGACCTGACGTTGCGTCTGCAGACCTCTTACACACACCTGGAGGAGGCCCAGAATCAGCTACGACGACATAAGTCTGTACGACTTCACAGTGGCACTCTGTGAGAATGATATGCAGACACATAACACACGCAAAAACACCCACACACAAAATTAAACTACAATAACAATTAATTAATGTCATTTTTTTCTTTCATATATATCAATGAATACATGCTTGTGAACACATACATGAGTGGACACAAATATAGGCAAGCAAATTCATGTAACATTAAGTAGCAAATTTGCACATCCTTATTATGAAAAACAACGGGTGTTGGCCTGGAGATAATTTTCAGACTTCAGACCGGGTTTGTTATAAACAGTCTCTCCCTGCTTTATTTCAATACTTGTATTAATTTTTAGTGGGAATTGTGCGTGTCTATGTGTCTTGGCTAAAACACTTGACTATAACCTCACCACTCACAGGCTAATCTACTCAGCTGTGTAAGTGTGAAGTACTGTTATTAACCTCCTGTTTGATCTGTCTTGTACAATAATAATTTCTGTGACTACAGAGAAGACCTCCCAGTGTGCTTGCCACTCCAACCTTTTTTAGACATTTAAAGGAACTTGCATATCTGCAGATTTCTCCCTGTCTTGTCTGTGTATTTTGTGTTTTTTTTATATTTGCCCCATTTTCTGCATTGTGGATTCCTGCACAAACTAATCACTGTTTGATATTTTAGTAAAGACTAACCTGAGGTGTTTGCTCTCCGCCAACCAGAGGAACAGGAAGTACACTCCACCATCTGAGCCACAGCAGCAGTTCCTTTGCTCAGCCAGCCTACACCAAGAACTTCAGATAGTAGATTACACACTGACTCCAAGAGGAGGTAGGTTGAAAACTGCAAACACAAACATTATTATTATTATTAATAAACACTTAGTTATCAGGTATGCCTACTATGTACCTAAATTAAGTCATCGTTGGAGACCACATACCCACCTAGCCATCATCCTGTGCAGAGATGCATAGCTGATGAATGCTTCATCAGCCCACAAGCCCTCTGTGTTATGCAGGATAATGAAGAAGTGATAAAACCTCAATATGAGCCATTTATTTCAGACTGCTGTCACATATGGTCAACATCTTTCAGCAAAGATGAGCACATTACAGCTTAAACACACGATTATACAGTACAAGACCGTGTATAAATGTATCTTTCTGCCTAAACAGGGCTATTGTGTTTCACTTCTTTTAAACAGTAGGTTACATTATTGTAGCAACAGTAGGTTGCTACAATATTTCTGCTGGAGATTTAACATGATTGTGTAGGTCATGTTAATGCAACAACCTAAACTGTACAGTCAAAAGTCTCTGAGACTGAGAAGCAAGCAAAGCTAAATGTATTGTTGAACAGGAAGGAATGACTACTATAAACCTATAGTAGATACTAATCCTATAATTATATTAATAATTAAAGCGATCATACTGTTATTATAGAAACCCGTGTTTGCCCTTTCACATCACAGACAATCAACATCCGATCCATGATAAACCCTCGTCTAGAGCTAGGACATGAAGCCAGGTCAGACCACACCTGTCAACCCATGCACACTGATGGCAGCCACCAGTTTATTCTGTAGTTGCCCGGGTTTTAGTCTTAAAGGTATTATTCTCCTCTAAAAGAAAAGACGAGAAGAAAAAAAGAGAAGCAGTGCAGGCTAACCCTTTCAACTTGAGTTGCACAAATTTGTCAAAAGTGACAGCAATTTAATAAATCGGAGCTCTCCATCACACGCATATGCACCCCCCCACACACATACACACAATTCCCAGTTATGCCCTCCACTGCCCCCTCTCCATGTATACGTAAATGAGGTGCATGCACGAATTTGTGTGTGTGTGTGTGTGTGTGTGTGTGTGAGAGTGAGTCTGATAGAGAGAGAATGTGTGTGCGTAGGCCCTGCGGTCTGGTCCAGGCATTAGGTAATTGACTGTGTCTTTGCTCAAGGCCTTTCATGGATCACCGTCCTTTATTAGCTCACTTCCCAGCACGCACACACACACACACACACACACACACACACACACACACACAAAGTTCCCAGCAGCTCCACCCCAACCTCTTACCCCCCACCACCAGCACCCAGACCCAATTGCCCGGAAACGAGGAGTGAAACGAGAGAGAGAGAGGAGCAAGGGAAGAAGGAGAGAGCAGCGACAGGGGAATGAACTAACACGGCCCCAGGAACTGGAGATAAATAAGTATGAGGAGTGAGTGGGCGGGGGAATGGGGTCTCCTGCAGCTGACAACAGGGGCCAGAGGCGCAAGATCAGTTTTGCTTGGTGGATCTATGCTATACAGTATTTGTAAAAGACAAGATTGAAGAGAACGTTGTAGGTTGTTTGTGTTTTTGAGCATGTGTGTTAAATGAAGGTTTTCACCGACACCACCAAAATTAAAGCCATCAGGGATAATTTAGCTCATTGTTCAAATTTGAAACCTACTCGCAGATATTCGCCAAAGCCGAAAAGCATTGCAGGCCGAAAGTCAATATCTAACACATACACACTTGCTCATGCATACACATACCACCCAGACACACGTTTATACGTGCTAGCTAAACTTGAGCTCTGTGGTCTCTGTGAAATTTGCTGCTGCATAGGATGTTATTGAAGAAGAAGATGAAGATAGCTGTGCCTGCTGTCAACCCAGTCATGTCATACTGCTGACACTCAGAGCTCATCAGACCTCAGATTATACTTTTTGTCTCTGTGGACGCTTCGTGTTTCTGTATCTCTCTCTTCCTCTATTTACTCTCTCTTCTCTCGCTCTGTGGTAATTAGTGCATTAGTCCTATCGTTGGCATGACCCTGAGCTACAGCAGCAGCCAGCAGAGCTTCTTGTCACAGCTCAGCAGGCCAAAGGAGTGGACAGCTCAACCCTGGTACTCATCATCTTAGTACCGTGCCCAGCCATCCTCCCCCCAGCCACATTATCTAGCTATGTTATCCAGCCATGCTTCTAATTATTTTCAAATCCTAGCCACAGTCCTCTCACCCAGCTTCTGCCACATTATCTAGCCCTGCTTGCAATCATCACCCTAAGCCTTGCTTCAGCCCTCTACACAGCCTGAAGCTTCATCATTAACATAGCCCAGTTTTTTCCTAGTTCCAGACCATGGCTAACTCTGGCTTGACCATCACAGCTGTTGGCAGTATGTACACATAATCACACAGATGACCAGTCCCCACTTCTCCAGGAGCTCAGTGGCCTTGTCTTAGGCCAACAGGTGGTTGCTCCTTTCTACAGCTCCTGTGTGCCCTTGCATGACTTCCCAGGTTCCCCACCAAATATTAGTTTCAGAGACCTCAGACCCTCTTTCACAGCTCTGTTCTCCATTCATTCACATTCCTCATCTCTAATGTAACTCTCAATACCAGCCTAAATTTCAGAGCTCTCCTTGAGAGTTGTAGCTCTGGCTTTATTGTTTTTGACTAATAACTCGATGTCGACCTAAATAGCTCAACATGCATGATCTGACCCTCCTCCAGACCAGGGCCTCACACTATGTAGCTTTGGCATTATTATTTATAAGAACATAAGTGTTTTTCTGTTGTTTCAACTCTCCTTAGGTAGGTTAGGTTTGTAGGTTAGGTGCTGTCCATTCTGCAACTGCAGTTGCATATCAATCATTGGGTTGATATCAATGGGTCAAACATGTTGAAACAAGTTGAACATGTGTTTAATAGAGCTCATCAAACACCATTGTATCAGAAAAATTGGAACTACTGTGATCTGACTGTAAAGAAAGAGGGTACTGGTGTTATCTTGCTCAAGCTGAGGGTGTAATCACACTTCTCACTCAAGGGTGGCAAGAATGTGAACTCTTTTTTGAATTGTTTGTTAGGAAAAAATCTAAAGAAGGCTATGAAAGGCTAGGTTTTATGAGTGAACAATGCCTAAACATCTTTAACAAGTTTAATATAGCCAACACTGTAATGTTCATTGTTAAATGAAATACTCAAAGTTTTTTTGGCTTCTGCACCAACAATGACTAATTTCAAATGCAGATATGGGAAAGCCCTCTCTGTCCATGCTAATTTTGTGGTTGTGTTATTAGCCATGTCACCAGCGGTACTGCCTGTAACCACAGAGGATTGCTAATTAGGAGGCTTCGTGCTAATCAAGTACACTACAGTGAGTGGTCACGTCTGTGTCTGTCTGCGCTCCAAGCCTTTCCTTCCCCTCGCATTAGACTGACACTCGTCAGTCGTCCTCTCTTTCAAAAGCTAGCGACTGATCAGAACCAACTGACAATGATACATAACAGAACACACGTTTGCACAGGAATCCCTGCTTTCCTGAACACATGCACATAGACATATACAATTGCATATATACACATGAATACGTGCATACACTGGCCATTGCCGATAGCCCAACCCTACATACCCTTTAATGTTGCCCCAGTATTGTCCTTATCACCGCCTCTCACCGTAACACATACTCAAAACACACACCCCTTCTTACCCCCACAGAGACACACAACATAGTCTATTCCCAACTACTACAGTGTAGCTTTACTATTGTCATTATGGCATTGTGGGTGCAAAGCTTCAGGCAACAGGGACAGGAAAAGTGTATCTACACACATACAGACACCTGGTGGTTCACTCTAAATGGCATCAGCCATAATGTATCACCGTGTTGCATACAACTGATGTATGATGGGTCTTTTTAATGGTAACAGTATTCATTAGCAATTAATACCTAAACTGAAATAGGCCACAAGAAGAGACAAAGGAATTAGGTGGGGTAGGCAGCAAATGCATGAACTCAAATGTGTCCACCTTTTATGTGTGTCTGTCAGTGTATGTATTTCTTATGATATCATGTCTACCCATTTCTCCAGCTCTGCTGCATTAGTGTCCAGGTTACTGCAGTGAGAAAGAAAGAACGCTAATTCTCCATAACAATTTTACGGCTTGTGTAAAACTCTGCAGCCCCTTCATTTGCACAGCCATAAAACATTCCCCCTGCCACACTCCTTCCTACTCTGGACCTCAGATTTATCAATTAACCTAACACTTCTCTTCCATTACGGTGGCATTTTGCACTGCGAGGCCTGCATACAGAGTAACGATGAGGGCCGAGTGCACACAGCATGATATTAAATGGACAGTCTCAATTAAATGATTAGCAATCATATTTTGGTGTGACATAAGAAAATTAATGACATTAGACTTTATTATTTATGTTAAAAGCTCTTGGACCCGACTTGACCAGATTAACTCAGGTCACTTCAGGCCAATTTTTTTTTGACTTAATCATATGAATTTGTGTCAAGCTTCTGTTTAAAACTAATAAATAAAAATGCTGTTATAATAATAACTATTATTAATAGTTATTAAAAATATTCACAACTTTTGCCTTGAGTAGGATCCAATAGTAGGTTAAGATTTGTTTCTTTAGGCCTGAATGTAACCTCCAGGCCAACTCTAAGTCAAAGCCTTTTCACACAAAGTCTGAAACAAATGTATAGTTTAAAGGTTCATCTGAGACTTTGTTTTTTTAAAGTAATTTACGTAATCCTTTAGATGCGCTAATTGACATTAATATTTCTCTTTACATTAATAGACTACCATAACTGGTAGTGCTTGACAAGTAAAATGTCTTATTCAGAGTTTTTATTCAATTTTGCTATCCTTGTATATAAGGATTATATTATCTTACTATAGCATGAGTTTAGTGAGACACAAGTACTACAATTCAGCAGTAAATTATGCGGTTTAGATATAACACAGTAAAGACTAAGAAAGAAAATTTAGAAAGATAGCGCTTTAGTAATGATGCATTACATTTGCAATGCACTTGTGTCAGTCTAA